TTGGGCAATCCTACTTCCGTAGTGATACTGCCTCGGAAACCCAAGGAGGGGTCGCTATGAGTCGGGGCCAACTCCACGGCAAATAACAACAACAACAAAGGAGGTCCGGTGGTATGGCAGTTAAGGCATTTTGCTGCTAGCCAAAAGGTCAGTGGTTCAAACCCAACAGCTGTTCTGCGGAAGAAAATGAGGCAGTCTGCTTCCATAAACATTTATAGCCTTGGAAACTCAATGGGAGCTGCTGTGAGTCACAACTGATGGCAGTGAGTAACTGAGTGACTGAATGAGTACGTTCTGTGGCACATTCGGTTTATCATGAGTTGTAATGAGACATGCTATTAGATCAAGAAAATATTGTGAACATCACAAACCTAGTGGAAACTTTCCAAAATATTTTTTTGGAAACCATTTGTTCCTTTTTGACATTACTACTATTGAAATAATCAATTAAAAACCATTTATCTAGGCAAATCATTTTTATTGGTTGCTGGATGACTTGTTTGAATCATTTCCTTGGAAATCTGGAAGCTGGTGGGCCCCTGGGGCTACCACCCTGAGATCATCTTCCCTTCTTTGACTGAAGGTACCCCTGAGGTCAGTTTATGGACAAACAATGGTTTGGCTTAACTAGTGAATAATGTCTGTCCTGAGCATTGTGCTCTTTTAAGAACTATCTACATGGGATCAAATTGACAACAGCAACTCAGACAGATTAGATAGGAGCCTTGGGAGGGGCAGTGAGTTTATGTTAATGGGGGTGGAACAACTCAGAAAAGGAGGGTAAGACTGTTATCAGCATCATTAAATTGTTCATGTAAAAACTGTTGAATTGGTGTCTGTTTGCTGTGCATATTCTCAGCAATAACAACGAAATAAATAAAAATTAGAAAAAAAATAATTTCTGTGGGTATATTATCAAACACAGGACATCTGTGAATCAAAGAAACCATCTACATCCATGAAAAATCAGCCTCAAGGGCAGTTGGCTGGTCTGGGACCATGTGTTATCTAGGACACAAGCAGACTGCTTGGATGCTGCACTGTCACTCAACAATAGCTTTAAGGCTACTAGTAACAAGTGCCCAGTAGTTACTTTAAAGAGATTTTATGGAATTTGGGCATTAAAAACAAAAGAAAATAAAATACTAAACTCACTGCCATCAAGTCAATCCTGACTCATAGTGACCCCCTTTGGGCTTCCGAGGCTGCAAATCTTTACAGAAGTAGATTGCCCAGTCTTCCTTCCGTGGGGTGGCTGATGGGTTTGAACCGCCAACCTTCTGGTTAGCAGTCAGTTGCCTTAGGCGCTACGCCAAAAACTGCTCCACAAGGTTTTAAAAGCTGTAAGGCTCAGGGAAGGAGCACTTGTGCAACAGTGCCTAAGACATTTGACTGCTAACCAGAAGGCTGGGGGTTCAAATCCACTAGCCACTCTGCAGAAGGAAGACTACCATAAAGATTTACCACCTCGGAACCCAAAGAAGGTCTCTGTGAGTTGGAATCAACTCCAGGGCGGTGTGTTTAAAGCTTTAGGGAAGCAGACTACTTCATCATTCTGCTGCAGAGTGGCTGGTGGGTTTGAACTGCCAACCTTTTGGTTAGCTGTGCTTTAACCACTACCCCAGAGCTCCTTATTTTGGGCATATAATGGGTAATTGTTTTTCTTCTTGGGGACTGAATCTGTATTAACCATTGCAGGGTTTAAAATAATTTATCTTTCTATCTAAATGCACAACTTTTGGAGAGGAGAGATTCAGTCCCCTCAGACATTAAAAAAACAAAAAACAAAAACCAGAAAACCTCACTGCTGTCGAGTCGATTCCAACTCATAGCTACCCCTCCTTGGGTTTCCGAGGCACTATCTCTACAGCAATAAATTGCTCAGTCTTCCTTCCAAGGAGTGGCTGGTGGGTTTGAACTGCCAGCCTTCTGGTTAGCACTCAAATGCCTTAAGGACTACGCCACCAGAGCTGCCCCTCAGATATATTTAGGAAAGCACTCATCTAGATTCCATATTATCACTGCTGATATATTGTTTATTTCCAATATGAACCTGGGGAATATTACTTCATAAGGATATTTCTGACAATGGATCATTTGAAAGTGGTGAGAACAGAAAGAGAATTATGCAAACTTTGGTATTGATGTCATCAGATTTATTACTAGTTGATTAGATATCCATTACTATTAATTCACCAGTCTCAACTGGCTAATAACTTTATTTCTATACAATGATATACATTGTTTTAAAAATAACCTATAATTAAAAAATAACCTATAATTTTTGGTTGCTTTCTTGGTAGGTGGTCTATTTTACAGCTCTTTTTCCCTATGTTGTTCTACTCATCCTGTTAATACGAGGGGCAACTCTGGAGGGTGCATCAAAAGGCATTTCATACTACATTGGATCACAGTCAAATTTTACAAAACTTAAAGAAGCTGAGGTAAGAAACTTAATTTGGATTAATATTATCTGAGGAGGAAAATCTTTAAAAAAATACCAAAAATCTTTGGTTGCATATAAGAATGCCATAGTAGTATGTAGTAGTTTGCAAAAAATAAGCAATTAATTTTATTAGTGTTTCTGTCAACAACGATGTCTAATTTAGCTCTTTAACATGACACTCTAGGAGCTCTGGCCGCATAGTGCCTAAGGCACTTGACTGCTAACCATAAGAAGGCTGGTGGTTCAAACCCACCAGCCACTCCTTGGAAAGAGATTGGGCAATCTACTCCTGTAGTGATACTGCCTTGAAAACCTAAGGAGGGGTCTCTATGAGTCAGGTTCAACTCCACGGCAGTGAATTTGTTTTTTTTCTCAGGGAGCTCTGGTGGTGTAATGAATAAAGCACTTGGCTGCTAACTAGGTCAGCAGTTCAAACCCACTAGCCACTCCTTGGAAGAAAGATGGTGCAATCTACTTTTGTAAAGATTTATAGTCCTGGAAACCCAATATAGTTTGCTATGAGTCGGAATGGACTTTATGGCAGTGAGTTTGTTTTTCTGGTTAGGTCAACAACGTCTCATTTAGCTCTTTAACATGACACTAATGCTTTGTTATTGGAAGTGAGAGAATCAGTTTTAGCTATAGATTTGAAAACTCATTTTATTCATGTAACAGATTCAATTTGACCAAAAGTATTTTGGGATTATTAATATGATGATGAATATTCATTCCATAAATAAATACTTCCAAACTGATTACTATGTTGGTGTGGGTTTACTTGATAGAACTAATAGTAGCTTTAAAGATTAGTTGAAAGTTTAATGGTCTGATACACATTTGTAACTCTCTTTAAAAAAGTTACTATCTCAAAAGTAAGATAAAATTTTGCCTAATGGATTATGAAATTAAAACAAAAATTTGGCATGGCTTAAGAATTCCATAAACAAAACTATTACTTGTACTAGAAACATGTTCCATGAAAATGAACTGGGTCACCCACTTTTAACTTTATTCCATCACCAGATGATGGTTATGTCTATCATGAGTACATAAAATCTTTTACAATTTTGACTGCAGAGAGCATTAACAATAAGTATACACTATTGGTATAGCTTAAAAATGATTTTATTTTTTTAGTAGTCACATCATTTTCTTGGCTTATATTGAGTTTCTGGTCAGCTAAAACCCCCTAATTGTCTTCATACTGAAATCAAAAAACACTGTTAATATCATCTACCATCCAAGTAGTGCTATTCAAAATACAGATTAGTTTTAGTCTGCTCTGGTATTGTTTTACTGTACTGGGTTTAAAACTCCAAACCGTACATACTCATTCTATGGGCGTGCTATAAGGAACTCTCAAGGTTAAGTTTGATTATATTTAATATTCATTCTGCATGTCCATCTTTTGTATTTAACCTCCCTCTGTGGGAGATAAGGGGAGCTCTGGTGGCATAGTGCCTAAGGCATTTAACTGCTAACCAGGAGGCTGGCAGTTCAAACCCACCAGCCATTCCTCAGAAGGAAGATTGAGTAATCTACTTCTGTAGAGATACCACCTCGGAAACCCTAAGAGGGATTGCTATGAGTCGAACCCACCTCGATGGCATTGAGTTTTTTGTTTTGAGTTTATAGTATTGTTTGTGGAACTGGTGTTAATATCCAATTATTGCTGTTTTCTTTTCTGAATACTTACAAGCTGGGTATATTATTATTTGTTGTAGAAAATTTCTGGTAAGCAATGTCAAGTTTATCAGTTTATAATTTTATACTTTTTGAAAATTGAGATGTCAATCTCTTGTCTTTTGTCACCTTTCTTATTCCTAATAATTTTCACTCAATGATTAACCATAATAACTCTGAAGTATTTTAAAACACTGAGATTTTATTATTTGAGACTTGGAGATTGAGATCATTTGATGTGTCCAAAGGCTGTCATAATTTATTTCTTCATTTATCTTGGGCCTCATTCTTTTGGCCTTGCTGGTTAATCTCTTCCCAACTCAAAGACCATTTTTGGAGGTGAATAAGAAACAAACAAAATGGAGGATGTGATTCAACACCTTCTCTCTGTTAAGTTATTGAGATAAAATATATTAATATACTTTGAAAATTATAAGCTACTATACAATTAAAGAGCTCTGGTGGTGTAGTGCGTAAGTCATTTGGCTGCTAACCAGACAGTTAGTGGTTCAAACCCACCCAGCTGCTCTACAGAATATGAAGCAACCCAAGATTTATAGCCTTGGAAACCCAATAGGAGGTTTCTATGAGTCAGAATCAACTCACTAGCAGTGAGTTTGGGCTTCTTTTTTGTTATAGAAATATGAACGAAAATACAGTTAATTCAGTTATTGCTGTTACACTGTTACTATTATAGTTGCAACTTTTCCCTAAGAAGTGGACCCATCTCTTTTTAAAACATCATAACTTTGAGCACAGTTGAAAAGCCCTTTTAGTTGTTGCTAAAAGCCTAACCCACTAAGTGGCTTTTAAGGAGCCCTGGTGGTGCAGTGATGAAGCACTGGGCTGCTAACCAAAAGGTTGATGGTTCAATCCACCATCTGCTCTGCAGGAGAAAGATGTATCAGTCTGCTTCCCTAAAGATATATAGCTTTGGAAACCATATTGGCCAGTTCTACTCTGTCCTATAGGGTCACTATGAGTTCAGAATTGACTAGACAGCAGTAGGTTTGACTTTGGGTTTTATAAGTAGCTTTTACAAGCCTCAGTTCACTTGGGCTTTATACTTCCTTGAAACTAGCCTGAAAAGTTTATATTGGTTTGTGTTTCTATGTCTCTATTATCTTTTTCTAAAATTATTTTAATCAGAGCTAAATTGATGAAAGCTCTTGTGATATATACATGTTTATCCACTCCTCTTTCTGCAACACACACAGCATCTGGTTCCTCTTTCCTCCTTCATTTTTCTAGCAATGATAACATTTTCTTATTCCTCACAATCCATATGCTAATCATGAGATCATATATATCTATATAATTTTTTTCCCTTGAAAATCTGAACTCTATGGAAATCTCTTGGAAAGTAGAGACTCATAAGTTTATAGCTAGGGGGGACTTCAGAGATTATTTTACAAACTCCTTCATTTTACAGTGAAGAAACAGAGCTAGGAAAAATCAAATGTAATCAAGTTTACATAACAAATTAGTGCAACTTGAATTAAGATTTCTTAATCCCTACACTAATAATCTTGTATATACCTACAAGATTGGTGACTATAGAAATTATATATATTATTTATGCTTGTCATTTCCCTTCATTTTTATTTGCAGTCTAGGTGCACATCATGGTATGCAATAGAGTACTCAGAAATACTTTTACACAACAGGACAGCCATGCCCACTTTCAGCTCTCCCTACTTCACATACGCATACAGAATGTACCTAGTAAAAGATGTTCACAGACCAACAAAGCATATTATTCCCCTCTCAATACAGACAGCTGCCCAATAAATAGGAAGGCCTTGCTTTTCTAACATGACTTTGTTATATTTGAGTGAAATAAACTTGATCTATCTATCTGTCTGTCTTTCTGTCTGTCTGTCCATGCATCCATCCATCCATCCATCCAACTTGCTTCATATTGGCTTCCTATAAATTCCTGTAAAGCAATTATAGTGTGATGACAACATCAAGTTCTAATCTGGAGATCTAATAGCATTTGTTTTACTCCCTGACAACTTAGTTTATATTGAAATTGGCAATAGATTATATACTTTTCAAGGGGAAATATTATTTTCAGCTTTCATATAAGAAACTATCAATTGGTGATTGTTTTCTATAATAATTATAGTAGTAGTAACTACCATTGACCAACTAGCTAAGTGCTTGCATATGTTATTTTATTTAATTCTCATATCAACCTCATGGCATTAGTATCTTCATTTTATAAATGACAGAACAAGCTGAAAGGTTAAAATAAATTTTAGTCCAAGAGAGTAAGAGGCACTGGATATAAATTTTATGTTTTCAGAGGTGGAATTTTAATAACTAACCATTTGGTCCTATTTGAAAATGGACTGAAAGAACACATTTGCCCAAATATATGCCAGCCCTGTTATTTGACATCTGCATAATTAGATTTATGCAGTTGGTAATGGATTAATGTGGATTAGTTCCTGAGATTAATTATTGTCCTTTAGGAAAGACACAGGAGAGGTAAACTGTAAATGGGAGAATATTAAAGGGGAAGGTTTAGATGAATAGTGTGGAGGGTTTCTTAAAGAGATGAAGTCAGCTACCTGAAAGACCCTAACTAAAACATGGTATGAGGGAACTAGATGATCTAAGTAGTGCCTATCATTGTTCTTCAAAAACACTCTAGTACTAGTCTTGGTACGAGTTAACATTCTTTTATTGTCCCTAAATTGATAGGTAGAGCCAATAAATTTCCAATCCCTTTCCCAACACAATTTTCTGTGGAGCTTGAAAAGTAATTCTAAAATGTTTATGGAAGAGGAAAAGGCCAAAAAGCCAAGGCATTTTTGAAGAAGTAAGGAGGACTTTTTCTGCCAGGAACAAAACAATATTATAATGCCATAGTAATTAAAATGGTATTAGCATAGATATGGATATATAAACCAGTAGAACAAGATAGTAATCCTAGAGAAAGATTCATAAACATAAGGGACTTGATATGTGGCAGAGGTTATAGTGGAGACCAATGGGAAAAAGATGGTCTATTCAATAAATGGTCCTTGGTAATTGATATTCCATTTAGAAAAAAAATGAAATGGGATTCTCACATCTAAATATGCACATTATCAATATCAGGTGAATTAAAACCAAACACTATAAATATAAAACTAAATCTTTTAGAAGGAAATACAGGATAGTATTTTTATGACCTTGGGCTAAAGATTTTAAGTAAGAGAGAACAAGGATAATACATAAAATCAAAGATGAATACTACAACATAAAACAAAAACAAACAAAACCAAAACTCTGTTCATCAAAGGAAGTAAAAAAATAAGCCACAAATTGGGAGAAAAAAGCTTCAGTATATATAATAGACAAAAGGATTGGTATCCAAATTCTAGAAAGAATTTCTAGAAATCAGTTAGAGAAAGACAAATAACCTAAAAGAAAAATTGGCAGAAGATATGACCAGGGATTTCACAAGGGGGGGGGGAACATGAAAAAATGCTAAATCTTATAAATAATTAGAGCAATCAAAATTAAAACTCATTCCACAGCTACAAGATTAAACCACATTAAAAATTCTGACCAACTTTTGGCAAGGATGTGGAGTAACGGGAACTCTCAGACTCAGCTGGTAGGACAGCAAAGTGGTAAAACAACTTAGCAATATTTAGTAAAATAAGAAGATGCACATACTCTACAATACCACAGCTCCACACCTAGAGATGAGGAGACACGCACATGGATGTTCACGGATACATTGGAATAGCAAAATATTGCGAACAACTTGATTGTCCATTAACAGAAGAAAAGCTGAATTGTGTTACACAGAGTGGGATGGTACAACAGTGAAAAAAAGGATAAATGACATGTATTTAATTGTGCCATATGAATTTACCTACATTCTCTCATTTTTTACTTACAAAAATGGAAATTTCATATGGTTCTATGTGACAATGGATAAATCTGATACATAATATTGAATGAAAAAAGACAAGTTGGATAAATTTATATGCACTAAGATACCATTTCTGTAAGTTTTAAAACATGCAAAGCTAAATGCTATACTGTTTAGGTTCACATATTTATGTTCTTTATATTTAAAATATAAAGAAAAACTAGGACATGATAAAGGTCAAGCTAGCAGTTACTACTAGAGGGTGGGAAGGTGATATGATCAGGAAGGGGCACATGGAGGCTTCAAAAGAGTGGTCTTGAATTGGGGAGTGGGTATTTGAGTGTTCATTTCATTATGATTTCTAATATAGTCATAATTTGTATTTATGCAATATTTAATGCAAAGGAAAAATTCAGAGTGTATACTTTTAACTGTTAAATTATTTTCTCTTATAGGTTTGGAAAGATGCTGCCACTCAAATATTTTACTCTCTTTCTGTGGCTTGGGGTGGCTTAGTTGCTCTATCATCTTACAATAAGTTCAATAACAACTGCTTCTCTGATGCTATTGTAATTTGTTTGACAAACTGCCTCACCAGTGTGTTTGCTGGATTTGCTATTTTTTCTATACTGGGACACATGGCTCATATATCTGGAAAGGAAGTCTCTCAAGTTGTAAAAGAAGGTATGTAACACTGTATTTTATCAACTTGGGCTAATTCATTGCAGCTCACTTCAGAAATTCTAATATAATGTATAGAAATTTACTTAAGCTACTCAGGATTTAGGGTATGTCTTTTCTTTGTCTTTCCATCTTATATAATTTGGTTGTTTAAATAATTTAATAATTCTTATAGGATCTGGGAAAACAAAACTGTATTAGGGAAGAATTTCTGAAAAAGACATGACTTCTTCCCAGATTTTGTTTAGTCCTTTATATGAACCACTCATTATACTATGATAAGTATCAGGCATCATGCTAAGCACTTGACATTAATATGTTCGTATTAATATATATGCATATGTACGTATGTGTATGTGTGTATACATAAATATATATATTCACAATTATAATTACAGTACAGCTATAGTCTTAGATCTTAATTTTTAACACACATCAATATCATATTGATCAAAATTCATGCGTCTTTGAGTGTACAGAGCCATCTCACTTTAAAGGAATCTGACTGATGAACTTCCTAATTTTAAAAGCATTAGATTCAATTCACTGCTATCGAGTCAGTTCAGACTCACAGCGACCCACCTTGGGTTTCCAAGGCTGTAAATATTCACAGAAGTAGATTGCCCTATTTTCCTTCTGAGGAGTGGCTGGTGGGTTTGAACCACTGACCTTCTGGTTAGCAGCCAAATGCCTTATCCACTACTCCACCAGAGCTCCTTTAAAGATAATAGATAGACATAGCGAATTATCTGGCTAAGGATTCTTCAGAAAAGAATTCTGGTTCTTTTAAGTAGAAATTCCTTACTAATCTTTTATTTACAGTTAGTATCATTTAATGGAGAGACTGAAGGATGTTAATACAATGTCAGACCTAGCAGTTTCCCGGAGATCGTCTAGTGTCTAGCTGATTTACAGAGGAGTGATTTGATGCACAAAAATGTTATATGCCTTGCAGAAGGTCAAATATTTAGGAAATGATAGAGTCTATACTAGAAGCTAATTCTCCTAAATCCTAGACTAGTTCTCTGGGAGGTTAGAGGAACTTTTAAAATATTTAAATCTAAGGATCACAGAAGAGAACTGAAAAGAAGACAGAGCATCTGTGAAAGTATGGGAGCCCTGGTGTCATAGTGCCTAAAGCATTTGACTGCTAACAGAAGGCTGAAAGTAGCATTTATCAAATAGAAAACAAGATTCAATTTATAGTTTCTTGACATACAATTTGGCAGGTATCCATATACTGGTTAAGATAGCACTGCATATAGTGATTCTGGTAAACCTTTGGAAAGAAAGTTGAAGACCAAAACATTCGTTCATAGGTAAAATACTTCTAGAATTTTCAGATGAAGATAAGGTAACCCGATTTAGGTTTCTGGAGTTTAAGACAGTTGTTATCCTTCATTAATCCTAAAAAGATGAAAACAGTTAACCAACACCATTAAAATAGTTAAGATGTCTTATGTAAGAAAGGTACAAAGTTTGCCTCATTAGCTTAATTCATGTCACATGTGCACATTATCACATTGTAGAACCACCAAATCAAATATTTTAAAAAGTGAAATGGTGAAAAATGTACCTCTTGGATTAGGTGGCTAAAGGGAAATGAAATTCTCCTAGTATCTTCTTTTGAGATTTCTATATGTGCAAAATTTTCTTGGCAAGTGATTTAAATGAATTACCACATATTTTTCTTAGGTTTTGATTTGGCATTCGTTGCCTATCCAGAAGCTCTAGCCCAACTCCCAGGTGGACCTTTTTGGTCCGTATTATTTTTCTTCATGCTTTTGACTTTGGGTCTTGACTCTCAGTTTGCTTCTATTGGTAAGTAATACTCTTGGTGTTAAGATATTAATCCAATATTTTACTTATGTTTCCTCTTATCCTCTTACTTGAAAACATCCTGTTCTTACCCCCACTGCCTGCCCCTCTAGCTGTTACTCTCAAAATCTTTCTGAAAGATTTTTAACTTAAATTTTAAATACAGAAAAATACAAAGTACTCATGTACTTGACACTCCAAAGAAATAAATAATATTTTATATTTGCTTCAGAAATTTTAGAGAAATAAACTGTTACAGATGAAATTTCAAGTACCCATGTTTCTTTTCCTAACGTAATGAACATTTCTTCCTTCCTAGAGGCAACCATCACCAAGGATTGTGTATGTTATTCTGTCCATGTTTGTATACATTCCATATGGATCTGTAAATAACATATATTTTTAAAATTTCACACAAATGTGAAATACAGCATACACATTATTCTGACAGTTTTTTTAATATAAATTACATATCAGTGTTGATACACCTATATGTATGTAATTGAATCTAGTACATTTGCAATCTGCTATCATAATAATGGGCATTTGGATTATTTCCAATTTGTTTTTATTACACACACTACTGCAACGACTATGTTTGAATATGGCTGTATGTACACATAAGGAGTTTTTCCTAGAATATAAACCTAGAAAATCTGAAAAAATTTTCATCATATAACTCTCTAACTAAAACATTTTAATAGTTTTCTCTGTTTATATGGTAAAGTACAGACTTCTCTGAATGACTTTCAAAGCTCTCTAAAATATCAAATATATCTCCTAATTTCTTCTCTTATACATCCTTCTACTCTTAGCCAGTTCCTTGTTTCATGAACACATTTGTTTCTTAAAGATAGAATGCCTATCTGTCTTCATACCATTTATTCAGATATTCACCCTATGTAAAAGTCCAATCAGAATTCTTCCTTACCTTTAACTTTCTTTTAAACTACTTCAGCCCACAGGGGCTTGTTATTTTACAGTTGCTACCAATGAAAAATCTTATATATATAACAGACTTAACAAAACAAATAAAGTTGCATTTGATTTTCACAGAAACAAGTGGTGACGGCTGATGAGAAAGATCCTATGAATTTTTAAAAATAAGGAGCAGGGTTCAGAATGGATTTCAAAATAAACTTGTAAATTTGATGAACAGAAATTGAATTGTGATGAACCTTATTGTCAAATGGGTTGACATGTAACATGGCTTTTTTTTCCCCCTCTGAAGAAACGATTACAACGACAATTCAAGATTTATTTCCAAAACTGATGAAGAAAATGAGGGTTCCCATCACTTTGGGTTGCTGCTTGGTTTTGTTTCTCCTTGGTCTTGTCTGTGTGACTCAGGTATACTACAGAGTTTTCTCATAGACCCCATAGTACTTGGAAGATACTTTATAAACTAAATGAGGAAACTGAGGTCCAAGAGGATGTGGAGCTGTGCGTCCAAGTCTGGCTTGGATCAAGGTTTTCCGAGTTTTGTTGTTGTTGTTGTTGTTGTTATGTGCCATCGAGTCGGACCCGACTCATAGCAATCCCTCCTTGGGTTTCCGAGGCAGTATCACTACGGAAGTAGATTGCCCCATCTTCCTTCCGAGGAGTGGCTGGTGGGTTTGAACCTCCAGCCTT